CTGTCAGCTCAGACTGGCCACGGACTAGACGTGATCCGCACTCAGAAGTGCCAGCTGACCTTGGGAAGATGGGTTAAGGCATCTCGAGATGTGTCACTCAGGTCACAGCTAGTCCTATGAAGAAGGTGCATTTGAAGACGTGGCCCACTACCGGCTAGTCATTCCACTGAGCCCCTACCTTTCACACTTCAGCAGCCTGACCAAGGGCTCCTGCTCACTTGGTCTTTGGTATCTGCAGGCCAGCTGCACCAGTCCTGGGGACTGACCCTTTACATTCATCTTGCTGTGAATATAGCAAAAATTCCCTTAGATATTCTTGGCAAACTTTTCAGAACTGTGCTCATTTTAGACTCCCACTTTCCTCAATGTATTCTTAACATTAGGGCACTCTTTGACTCTATTCTTGGTCCCAAGTCTCTCTTTACCTCATCTGTTTATATCTTTTGGCCAACAAATCTCCAAAAAAGTTCTCTAAGTGGACTCTTGGGATTCTTTCTGAGTCCTTTTTAGTTTCCTGCTTGTCAAGGCCATTTTAATCAGTGTCAGAGCCTCCCAAGTGCATCTGGGCCATTTCCCATTTTAGAGTTCCTGCCCAGAAGGTCACACTTATCTTCTCTCTCAGAGTTTTGAACTCTGCTTCCTGATGACTGAGGATATAGGCCTACCCATAAACAATACTCTCTGCTTTGTCAACAAAGAGAAACTCACTAATGGAGCCAGTTTCTCAGTATTTAATTCAGTCAAATAAAAGCAATTATTTATTGAACATTTACTTTACTCCAGGTACTTGGCTATAAGGAGTTCACTGGGTAGTGTGGGAGGCAGACAATTAAACTAACAATTTCAACACAGTAAGACAAATGAATCAAAAGAAGTATGTGCAATGGCTGACAGTGTTACAAAGGGAAGGTTGTACTCTGGGGCAATGACACAAACTGGACTTTGGAAATAAATAAAATTCAACTAGGCCAGCCTAAATCTAGAAGAACTTCTAGGTAGAAGAGACAGCATATGCCAAATCCTCGAGGTATGAAATAACAAGGCATGCTGCAATCACTTTAATGACCAGTTCTTCCTTTTTAAAAATTAAAGTTGGCCGGGCTTGGTGGTTCAGCCTGTAATCCTGCCCTTCGGGAGGCCGAGGTGAGTGGATTGCCTGAGCCCGCAGGTTCGAGACCCGCTGAGGCAACTTGGCGAGACCTCATCTCTATAAAAAATTAAAAAAAAAAAAAAAATTAGCCGGGCGTGGTAGCATGAGCCTGAAGTTCCAGCTACTTGGAAACCTGAGGCGGAAGGATCGCCGGAGCCCAGCAGGTCAAGGCTGCGGTGGCCAGGAGCTACCACTACACTCCAGTCTGGGCAACAGAGTGAGACTCCAACACACACACACACACACACACACACACACACACAAATTAAAGTTAAGTTGGTCGCAGTGGCTCACACCTGTAATCCCAACACCTTGGGAGGCAGAGGCGAGAGGATTGCCTGAGTCCAGGGGTTCTAGATCAGCCTGGGCAACTTGGCAAGAGCTCATCTCTACAATAAATCAAAAAATTAGCCGGGTGTGGTGGTGTGTACCTATGGTTCCAGCTACTTGGAAGGCTGAGGCAGGTTGAGTCTGCAGTGGCCGCGAGCATGCCACTGCACTCCAGCCTGGATGACAGAGTGAGACTCTGACTCAAAAAAAATAAATAAATAAAATAAAAAATATAAACCCACATTTAACTGCTGCTAATCAGAGCAGAACGTATGCGTATTCAGGGCACCTTGAATCCGTGCTCTTGAGCTGCAGTCCTCAGACCTGTTCCAAATAAACTTTCTACTTTATAATAAGTTTGTCTCTGTTTTTTTTTTCTTTGAATTGACATTCTCATCAACCTAAGGTACAAATGAAGTTATGCTAATATTAATTCCAAAACTGCAAGGTTCTTTGCCCTTTTTCTTCACAAGGGAACTCCCAAAGTCTCCCTGGACCATTTTGGGGAGTCAGGGGGCTGGAGGAATTCTCACATGTGTGAGGATAAATGTACTCATTTTAGCTTGCTCTGGTCTCTGTGTCAAGGTACCTCATCTGCCTCAGCCTCTGGACTGAAGACACCTCAGAGAACCCTGCTCTGCTATCGCCTCCTGCTCCCTCCCCACCCTGAGAGTGTTATTCTTTGTTGTGTTCTTTCGCACAGTAAGGGTAAGGTGGAATGTGGGGAGAGGAGAACAGCCCTTTCTCCGAATCTCTGTCTAGAATCGTTCATGATTTAGCTCCTATGTCCTTTCTAATTTATCTCTCTAGTAACTCAAGAACTTGGCCGATGATAGTGACAGATTGACTATCAAACGAATCCCAGTTCTCTGCCCCTCTCTGTCTGCTTGCCCTTTGCAATGGGGTGTTCAGCGCCTCCCGTTGAGGAGTGGAATCTCCTCTTACCCCCTTGAATCTGGGCTGGCCTAGACTGGCTCTGGTCAGCTGGATATGGCTGAAGTTATGATGTGTCAGCTCCAAGCCGCGCCTCAAAAGGCCTTGAGCTCTTTTACTCTGTTGGCTCCTCTGCCATGTCTTGAAAACAGCCTGGTTAAACAACTGACTGATGAAATATTACTGCCTCAGTCAACAGCCAGCCCTCTGTTCCAGCAAAGCCCAGAAGAACTTCTCTGCCAAGCCCAGCCAAGCCTAGCGGAGCTGAATAGACGACCGGCTTTTGCAAGAGCAAAGCTGGGGAATACCAGAAGAACTACCCAGCTGAATGATAGATTTGTGAACTACGTAAAGTCTGTGTCATTTGCGACCACTGGATTTTCTGCTTGTCACACGGCATTATTGTGACAAGGGATAAATGACACAAGCCTTCCTGATCTCCAAAAATCAAGACTTTTTCCAGATTCAAACACCCCTCCAAGAAGCTCAACAAATAGCGGAACTCTAATTCTCAGTGTGGATTCAGCCAGGACCCCCAGATGCCCTTATAGCAGTCTGTGAGGGGGACACTGCAGCAAGATGGAGGTATTTTATTTCAGCAGATGGCCAGGAGATCAGGGAGAAAGCTAGCTGGCTTGCCAGGAAAGGCACACGTGAGGAGTCTTGTGTATAGAAACACCCTGCCAATCTGTAATGGGTCTACAAGACCACAGTCAGCTTTGCGTGGTGGTAGTTCTTATGGAAAATGGCAAGGGAGGCCAATATCCCTAGTTTGGACTGAGTTGGACCAAACTGAGATAAAGAGCAGCAGGAAAAATGGGACAGAATCACAGAGAAGACATTGAGCTGCCCCAGGCCCTAGAACTGAGGCTCCAGCCAAGTTTATATAAAATCTCTAAGGGCAAGGAAGGTGTTCATTGGAAATCTGAGTTACGCACAGTTAATCTCAGTTTATAACTTGTCTCTCAACTCCTTTCATTATGCAGTGTTGCTGTGTCTAATTCCAGCCACCTGAGAGCTGCCCAGTGTTGTGGTTGTGATAAAGTGTAGTTGTGGTAAAGTTTATCTAGTGATTAAGTTCCTTTGGGTAAGCCAGGGATGGGGGAGGGGAGGGGTAGTGGGAGGTATTGTTAAGTGTGTGAATGGTGCTCTCTGACTAAAGACCTCTCCTTTCCACTCTGATTGCAAGACAGTTTCTCTTTCCTTATCACGCCCTCCCTCCTCTACATTATTTCTGGGAACTTTGATTTTTTTTTTTTATTTATTTTTATTTTTAGAGACAGGAACTTGCTCTGTCTCCCAGGCTGAAGTGCAGTGGAGTCATCATAGCTTACCGCTGCCTCGGCCTCCTAGACTCAAGGCTCTTCCCACCTCAGCCTCCCAAGCAGCTAGGACTACAGGCGTGTGCTACCATGCCCAGCTAATTTGTAAAGTTTTTGTAGAGATGCAGGACCCGCTATGTTGCCTAAACTGGTCTGGAACTCCTGGCATCAAGCAATCCTCTTGCCTTGGCTTCCCAGAGCACTGCGATTACAGGCATGGGCCACTATTAGTGCTTATTTCTAGGGACTTTGAATGGAGCCTGTTTCAGCTGGGCAAATGAAAGTTGGATGCTTTGAAGATCTGAAGTGTTCTGGACTGTGCTGGTAGAGCTCCTTTCGGGCTGGGGCCTGCCCTTGTGAGCCTTCCAGTCAGACCAAAGCTGCCCATGGCTTAGCAAACAGCTGTCACAAGTTCATGGCCATTAGTTGGAGGAAATCTAAGGATTGACAACTGGGACCACAGGTGCAGAGAAAGTAATAAAAAGTAAGTTGCTGATGGTTGAGTTCCAGTTCTGTCTATACTTTTGAGTGATAAAAAAATGAGGCTGCATATAGGCAAATTCTTCTTAAATTGATAACTTAGCCTTTTGTCCTGTTGAGACTGGAGTGAGTGTTGGGTTGAATTAGGCTCAGAGAAATGGTTGATATATGCCCACCTCCTGATAGCAATTTCTGGACCTTTATAGTTACAACTCTATGACTGTAGGGCCCTAGTTGTTTGGTATCTGGCCCTGGGGTGATTTAAGACAGAGGGAACATGGATGTGGTTTGTGACAGCTAGCTAAAAGAGATGGCTGGGGGGTTGGGCTCTAGATTCCTTGGTTTGTATATCGAAGGCATCAGTCTCCCCTCCCCACTCCCACCACAAGGTCCCCAGTGTCAAAGCATCAGACAATACAGAAAATTAAAACCATGATTAATACAGTAACCTGAGAAAATATGAGTCCCTTTGCTATCATAGTGAGTGTCAGAATTATTGGAGATATTTTACAGCTTTTGAGCCTTCTGTCAAAGTTAGATCATTTAGGACTCAGGATCCTGCCCTCCGAGTATTTACAGACGCCATTCTGACCCAGAGGAGTTCTTTGCTTTTTCAGGAAATGAACGGGATGAAAGTCCAGGCCTGGGACTTCCTCCTTGGTGTGTTTGACAAGTACTGACGTTCTCTAGGCCCTTCTAATCCCGGAAGTCCAGGACACACCCAGCCTTGATTGCAGCGTCAGAATACTGGAGCATAGGTAAAAGGACAAAAGCCAGAAACATTTAACCATGAGGGATCCACTGACGGATTGTTCGGTGAGTAGTTGTGTGGCTTGTGTGCCTACATGTGAGGGGGAGGGTGGAAGGGAGATTCCTATATTAATGGATTTTAGCCTAAGAAATTTGACACACTGAGAAACCAAGTATGTTTAGATATTGGCTGTGGTACAAAAGTTTGTGGTTTTTCTTTGGTTTCGTTTAAAATAGAACCCTTTCTAGGAAATGACAGGGCAGGTAATTGTCATCTTTCCTCCTCATTTTCTTGGAAAAAGTTGTGAGGAGTAAAGCATCATATTAGGGTCCAGATGGTGACTGTTTGGGCAAACATTCTTAAGACATACACCAATGGTGCCATCGTAATTTTGTGTGGAGTGAATATGAAACACTCAGAATGTCTGCAGCCAATTTTTGACTCTGAGAATAATGAGGATTTTTTTTGTTTTTGTTTTTTTACATCCTCCCCACATTGTTTATTTCAAGAATCGCAAATTCTGCAGGAGGAAGGACAGACTCCCCACTCTGTCTGTCCTGCGGTAGTTTTCAGAATGGTTTACCAGGGTGTTTTTTTCAGTCCTGGGAGCACTGCCAAAAATAGAATAATTGGTCAAAAGTCCAAAGACATTGTGAGGGTTTTTGCAGCAATAGCAGAGGTATAATTTAGGAAATAAGAAGCAACTAAAATAAAGGGGGGATCTATTAATTTTGGTAATAAAGTAATAAAGCATGATCAGTGTCTTATCCCGAAAAAAATGTACTGAAAAGTCAAAACTGGTGACATCATAAGCAAGGTCTTCAATCATTCTTCATGTGTTTTATTTAAAAAAAAAAAAAAAAGCTGGAGCAGTAGATAAATGGGGACTGTAATAAAGCCATAAAGAAAAAAGAACAACAGAGGATTATTGATTTCCTTTTCAATTTCCTTTTTGTTTATTCAGTGAGTAAGGAAAGCACATGCTTAGAAAAATGAAACTATAGTTAATTATTGCACAAAATCAGATGAGCTAAATGAGATGAACTCACAAATGATTAGTAGTATCAATAATGGCAATATAATAGCCAGCTCTGCCTACAGTTACTTTTTTAAGTAAAAGAAAAAGTATTTAATGTGAAAACAAATACCAACAATATGGTTATGTATACATTGTAAGAGTAAAATTTTCACCCTTTAGAATTTTTTCTTTTCTTTCTTTCTTTTTTTTTGGATCAGGATCTCACTCTGTTGCCCAAGCTGGATTGCAATGGCACAATCACGGCTCACCACAACCTCAAACTCCTGGGCTCAGGCAATCTTCCTACCTCAGCCTCCTAAGTAGCTGGGACTATAGACACACACCATTGTACCTGGCTTATTTTTTATTTTTTGTAGGGACAAAATTATGCTATGTTGCCCAGGCTGGTTTTGAATTTCTGAGCTCAAATGATCCTACTGTCTCTGCCTCCCAAAGTGCTGGGACTATGGGCATGAGCCACTATGCCTGGTCCATACTCCCCTGCTTTACTCAATCTCAATCTTCTTTTCATTGGCAATTATGGATAATTTTTTTTTAAAGTCTTTTGTCATGTATTTATTTATTTGTTTATTTTCTCTCCTTGAGTTTGCTTCCTTACTAAACTGTTGAATCCTTTCCTGTCTCAACACCGATACCCTGAAGATGTTTTTGTATAGGGGTTGCAGGTTGGACAGGGATGGAATGAATGGAGGCAGAATCTTGGCACTAATAGGAACCAAAAAAGAAAGTCAACCAGGAAAGAGTGTGATAGACAAAGAAGCGAGAAACTGAGGCCAGGTTCAATTAAGTTAAAAAAGAAAAAGGAACTGAAGATCTAATATCATTTTTTCAGGCCACAAAGTCAATCTCTGTCTAGAGGAATGTTTTCTTTCAGCAGTTCCCAAGACAACCCCTTGCCACACCTAAGTCAGTATAAGCCCTGCTCCCTGGTATGCTAAATAGTGCTCTACCCTCTGCTGGGCCATTGTCCCAAGGACTCTTGTCCTTGTCTACTGCTCTTGAAGGTCATCTCTATGGGCTCATTGCCACCAAAAATAGCCTGGAGTCATGGGGAGGCGGATATCCCTTCAACCTAGGTTTCTAAGCCCTCTAAAGTCACAAAATATTTATTTATTTGCAGTTGTTTCATCTTAATCAAGTGTTCAAGTTGATTTCCTGGTTCAGTCTTAGCTTGTACTTGGGGAACAATGCTGTACAAAGATGAATCTACAGTTTGGGAACAGAATAAAACATGGGAATGAATTACAAATAAATGTTTCAGGAAACACAAGTAGTTTTATTTAAAAAAAAAAACCAGAGCTTTAACCATTTGAAAATGTTCCTTCCATGAGTCCCTAGAGTTACACAGAATACAAGTCATAAAGTCTTAACTTAGCTACAATTCTTGACTGGCCTGCCCCAATGGATCTATATAATACTACTAGTAGTGTCTGTGACTTAGTAAACAATAAAAATCAATATATTTATATATCATTACAGTTGTTGAAGATATCTAGAAATGTTTACACTCAGCTTGACTTAGCAATTTTGGTAATTTTTAAGATGTGTTATTTAGAAAGTTAATAAAAGAGCACACATCATAATTTTTTTTAAAATGTTTAAAAAATATATGTCAATATTAGTTTCCTTTGTGATCCTATGTTATTTTATGTTATGCTTTAAAAAATATTATTCTGAATAAAATAGATTTCACAAGAATACTAAGGGGGCCCATGGAACAAAAACAATTTTTAAAAATCTCTTTTAGATCATGCTCTAATGGGCAAAATAGGCTGATAACTGGGACCTTCGCCCTCAAAAAGCCAGGTCAGTGTCTGTGTTCAAATTATTGTCACCAGAATGGAACAAAGATTGCCTAAATGCTATGTAGAGCTTTTAACTAATCTTGTGGGTGTCAGAACTTATTTGAAGAAGATTTTTGAAAGTTCTGTTTTTGAAAAAGAAAAGAGTTGGCTCTGGGCCTTGATGCCTTGTTGCCTGTGAGCTTAGTTTCTAAACCTAAAAGTATGCCAAGGAAATTCATCTTCAAGTTCAAGAAAACAAGATCAAATTATCTTCAAAAGAAACAATCCAATAATAAAGCATGCACCTTCCTATGAAACAACCCCGTAGAAACCAAGGACAAGTAACAAGCTGTAACCACATTTTTGCCTTTTAGGCACGCAAACAGTATCTAGGGAAGGGCCCGTTAAAGCAAGCCTTCTGAGCTTCACGTAGTCACCCCTTCCCTCCATCAGTTGTTGAAACAGCACCAGTCTGCTCCTTAAGTTGGTAACCCTTCAAATGCCAAATTGAACTTCCCATCTTGGTGGCTGAGCCCGGGACACAAGGTGGTGGTGGCACCGACTCAGATGATCCCAGTGCTCCAGTACCATGGTCCATAGTACATGAGTGATTTTCACTCACTGCAGAGGTAGAGAAAGAGGTTAAATCTGGCATGTATGTCATGTGGCCCACAGCATTCCCAGTGTGCATGTGTGATGTGTGACATGCCCTTCTGCATTTCTTGGGCCTCTGTTTGCTCATCTGTAAAGTCAGAGGAGGAAAGGATGGAGAAGACTGTTCTTTAATGTTCCATATTTTGTAATCAATGACAGCCTGCCACGGGGATTCTGGATATTACACAGATGACTAACAAATACATATGGCTCCTTAATTAGAGGGTCAGTGCTTTGAAACATCACCCACAATGAATCAGAATTCATATAAAATCAGTAGCATACAAAAGGCATCCAGCAAAGTTCATTTTATTAAATTTAAGTGGAAAATCGTAGTTTACTTAACACTATGAGAATTATCATTAAAAAGTTTTCATGTCAGCATCAATAAAAATATATTTTTCTAGAATTTTTTTATCGAACTGAATTTAACTTTACTCATTTGGACAGCAGTAGCATCCAGGTCAAGTTTGATATAGGCGTCTTTTATTGTTTACAAGTTATCTGTTTAATCATTTCATGTGCTGATTGTCTGGATTACTAAGATTTTTTTTTTTTGTAATGACAACATTTATCAACAGAATTTGCTTACAAATGCTAGGCAGAAAATTTTTTCTTTTTTTTTTGAGTTAGAGTCTCACTGTCACTCAGGCTGGCGCTCAGGTAATTCTTCCACCTCAGCCTCCTGAGTAGCTGGGAGGAGTACAAGCATGTGCCAACACACTCAGCTAATTTTTGGAATTTTTTGTAGAGATGAGGTCTAGCTATGCTGCCTAGGCTGGTCTCAAACTCCTGGACTTAAGCAATTCTCTCTCCTCTGCCTCCTAAAGTACTAGGATTACAGGTGTGAATTACCACATCCAGTCAGAAACATTTTCCTAATGGCTAAATGGAAAATGTCTGTGTAGATCAGTTGTCTATGTGAAGGGATTTTTTTAGGGGCTCAGAAAGGTTCCAAATATTTCACCACTAGTTGGAAATCCCTTTATCGGGGGTGGGGGAGGGGGAGACCCAAAAATGTTTTTTCCTTGTATGAATAATCCCCAGAAGAAGATCAATGTACATTCATGTGAAGATGTAAAATCAATAGGAGATTCCTTCCTGGGGTATTCATAAGCGCAATTGGTAGGAAAAGAACATGAAAAATTCACCTTCCACATAACCATGACCAGAGCAAACCCTTCTTCTTGTGCTGGTTAATGACATTAAGAACCCGCTTGCTCGGAAGACTGAGGCGGAAGGATCGCCGGAGCCCAGCAGGTGGAGGCTGCGGTGGCCGGGAGCGGCCACTGCACTCTAGTCTGGGCGAAAGAGTGAGACTCCCAACAACAAAAAAAGAACCCGCTTGCATTGTTCACAACACTTAAAAGTTACTATCACTTAGAGTAAACATAGTATGAAGATACTGAGTAGTCATTTATAAATATCCTTGTTTCTGATGGATTCTCTAATGATTTGCATACCTAAGATTTATAATCACAGTTCTGTCTCTAACTAATGAGGTTGTCTTCAGCTTTTTGTATCTTTTCTATAAATAAAGGAATTGGACTTTAGTTGTTTCCAAACTGTGCTCCATGGAGCCCCTTCA